AGAGAGAGAGAGAGAGAGAGAGAGAGAGAGAGAGAGAGAGAGAGAGAGAGAGAGCTCATGTGTAAAAACTACATCCCTGACGCATTTTGGTGTTCACAACAAATTAATTTATTAACTTCCCATCTCACCCAGCTAGCTTTTCTATTATTTTTTTCCCCCAATTTGCCTCGAATGTCGTCTGTTGCTTTCCAAAAAGAGCCTCTTTTCTCCATCAAAGTCAACCTTTCATTGTCTTGTTTCTTGATAAACCCAACTGAAGTGTATAGTTATATTACATTAATGGGTGGTTGGTGAGTGCTCTTTTATCGTCTTGACCTCTCCTCCTGTTCTTTTTGTGTGTGTTTGTTACTCTCTTGTAACACTTTTAATCTTCGGCACTCATATGACCTAATTGGGTTGCAAGTGCCGTAAAATTCATGCTTTAGAAATAAACTACAAAACAACATAATTCTACACTACAGAGAGCCATGAGTGTCCATTGATATCCGTCCTGGCAGGGAAAGGGTTAAGGATTAAGACGATGCGTTATTACGTCATCTTCGCCCCGGGCAATGAGACTGTGGGTAAAGGCGTGTGGTCAGGTGTGAAAGTGTAACAATTAAATTCTAACTCTGTTGACGCAATACACTACTGACATAATGTTTGGGGCCTGAAAGGTGGGGTACGAATTTTTTTAATGCTCAAAGGCAAAAGATTAGTCCCCTACCCTTTCACCCTCCCTCCCCTTCCTTTTATAGTGAATAAAAAAGCAGAGGTAGGTGGATTAAGAGAAATACACTGTGAAAGTATTCCGAACAAAGACTGGACCGGTCAGCCAGACGAGATAGTGTCACTTTGAGGCTGGACAGCGTGGAGCGCACATCTTTATGCTTGTTGCTAAATTTTGAGCGTTTTTAACTTCTTGTGTTCAGAAACATCGTTGAGTGATTTCAGCTTTACTTTCAAGTTCTAGTCTTTTTTTTTGAACGACGTCAAAACGACAAGCACCTCGCCTGTGTATATCCGTGCCTTGTGTTTTCCCTCATCTTCGGTGCCGTTTGCCCGTGTCTTGGGTCAAGTCTACGTCTCTCACCATGTTGCGGGGATCTGGATCTTCACCAGTCATGGAGTCTTTGGAGCTTATTCCGAGACAGCTGAAGGGGACAGCGGAACAGTCAAAGGATTCTGGCAGCAGTGGTGACAATGTATCCTGTTCCTCAAACGCACTGAGACGTTGTGATGACAGTATTTTCTGCTCATCAAACCCGGACACAAACTACAATGTTAGTGTGGTTCTTACAGAGAACACAAACATAGCCAGTCATGGTAGAATGCTTCCCACAACGAACACGGACAAAACCAGTAATTGCAGAGTGATTCATACAACTAAGACAGATATGGATTTCGCCTTCAGGGGAACAGTGCCTTGCGATTCTAGGAAAAGAAAACGTCAACAAAATCATGGAGATAATAAACGACGCATCACGTCTGAGGCCTGTACTGGCGGTGTGTTCCCTGCACCCAACACAGCTGTAGCCTCGTGTGACGTCCTGAATACGTCTACAACTACAAACAACACGGGTGGTGACTATGCAAGCTCTGGAACAATCTCTACCGATTCGAGAAAAAAAGTTCGAAGACAAAGAAAACAACAGACGGATGGTGAGAGATTCAGTGCGCTGTACGAGCAAACTGGAGAAAAGCTGGGTCGTGGGTGCTTTGGTTTCGTTTTCACCTATAGAAACAAGAAAACAGGGACGGAGCACGCAGTTAAAGTCATGAAGGACTGCCGGGATTTAAGACTCCGTAGAGCATTGATCGAGATAGAGACTTGTCGTCGCTACAAGAACTGTGAAAACATCCTCAATTTCGTGGAGTCCTTTAGATCAGGAGATACGTTTGTGCTAGTGTTCGACAAGATGGCAGGAGGTAACCTAAGAGATATGTTGTCATCAACTCCGTATCTGAGCGAGTCCCAGGCTTCACGAGTGACCGGTGCCGTCGCCCGAGCACTGCTGTCACTTCACTGCGACGGAGTAGCACACAGAGACCTAAAACCAGAAAACATTCTATGCCACACCCCAGGGGAGGTCACCCCTCTGGTCCTCTGTGACTTTGGCTTCGCGAGTGAACCCCCTTCTCGACGTAACCCCCCCAAAGAGGACACAGGTCTAATATTAACCAAGCTTGCCATGACGTCAGCTGTTGGCTGCCCACAATACATGGCACCAGAGATCGTCGGTTTGTACTTATCGACGTCACAGTGGAGAACACCCTACGACACCCGCTGCGACATGTGGAGTCTAGGGGTTCTCGTTTATGAAATGCTCGTCCGCTGTCTGCCCTTTGTCGGCCACTGTGCTCAGCATTCACAGACTATGGTCCGCAATTGCCGGGACTGCATCAATGACATGTTCCCCAAGATCTTCAGCGGCAACTATTCCATCCCTACAAACACTCGCGAGTCTTTGTCTGACACTGCCGTGGATTTGATCCGGCACCTCCTTGTCGTGGACCCCCAAGACCGTTACTCAGCCGTCGAGGTCTTGAAGCATCCGTTTGTGACTGCACACAGGGACGATGACTAGTACCGACTGTCTAACAGCGTTGCCATGACAATCGTTATTTGAGTGATGCTGACACAATTTTGGCAGGAGTATCGCCAGGTGCTTTTACATTTCTTGAATAATACATGTATCTTTTTCAAAAGACACACACTTCGGATTGTATTACATCTACACTGATGTTGGTGTGTTTTTCTGAGAGTTTGTGTCTTCGCTCTTTTCACAACAACAAAAAATGATGTTTTGGAGAGTGTATGTGTATGAGTATGAGCACATGCGTGTTTTTGTGAGTTTGTGTGTGTGTGTGTGCGTCTTAAATTATGTTATGTTATCAAATCTATCTTATTTTATCATATCATATCTCATAACGTCGTCTCATCTATCTTATCTCATCTTGTAACTGTGTTTGTGTGTGTGTGTGTGTGTGTGTGTGTGTGTATCTACGTGAGTGTGAGTGAGTGAGTGTATGTGTGTGTGTGTGTGTTATCTTATCTTATCTCATCTTATCTTATCTTATACATTTTTTAACATGTGTGATTGCTGATTATGTTGACATGTGAACATTTTTTACTATTCTTCTTGTTTTGAATTTTATGTTTATTTATAGTAGTATTTCTGGTTCTTTTTATCATTAATTAATAAAATGTCCCCTGTTTAAAAGCTAGTGAACATGGTTGTTCTTTCATTGTTGTTGTTGTTGTTGTTGTTGATGGTGATGATGTTGATGATGATTTTTTTTTTTTGGTTTCCTTAATACGCCCGGTGTACTCCACGAAGAAAGCTATACTCAGAGGCACCTCCACTCGTCCAAATAACTCCACTCGAATTGCCATTGTTCCTGGACATTGACACATAATTCTCCCTGATGATGGTAATGATGATGATGATGATAGTTTGACACATAAAACCAGTCAGTCCAGCACCTCCAACAGCTTAGTCATATTGAGCGCTGGTCAAAAGAGATTTTTAAGTCACCACAATTCAATGAGGGAAGAAATTGTCAAAATGGCAGACTGCCACATAAACACAGGCCCTACTTACTAAGATATCTTTCTATTCATATCAACCCCCCCCC